AGATAGATAGATAGATAGATAGATAGATAGATAGATAGATAGATAGAATAGAATAGATGCATGAAAGTTCCCACAGTCAGTGGCTCTATTAGAAGGTATGGCCTTGTTAAAATAGGTGTGGTCTTGTTGAAGGAGGTGTGTCACTGGCTTTGAGGTTTCAGATGCTCAAGCCAGGTGCAGTAGAACTCTCTCTTCCTACTGCCCGGGGATCCAGATGAAGAACTCCTGGCTCCTTCTCAGCACTATGTCTACCTGCATGCCAGCATGCTTCCCACCATGAATGAACTAAACCTCGGAACTGAAAGCCAGCTCTAATGAAATTTTTTCTTTATGAGAATTGCCACAATCATGTTGTCTCTTCACAACAAGAGAAACCCTAACTAGGACAGGAGTTGGTACCATGGTCTGGGGTATTGCTGTGATAGGTTACATAAGACAGGTGGCTTTTCCGCTCTCTCCTTGTGACCTTTCCCTCTCCTCTCAAGCCTTGTACAGTGATAGCCCTTTTTTTCCTCTGCCACATCCACATGCCTGTGTGCCCGTCTCTAGCCATCTTCTCTCTTTTTCTTCTGAATGACAAAAGAAATAAAAAAGGAAAGCCATGTCTCTTCCTAGGTATGGTGGAGGAGAAGGTTTATTGTAGATATGAGGGAGACTATAGCTAGAGGCCAAGGCATCTGGGAGAGTCCAGAGTGAACTTGATCCTGAGCCGGGCCATGTGAGAAGAATTGGAAGGGGAGAGGGGAGACCAAGGAGACCAGGAAACCGAGAGGCCCAAGAGTAAAGGGTAAAAAAAGGCCATTATAGCTAAAGTGACTGAATTATCTAGGGAAAGGTTGCTGAGAAAAAGGCAGTCCAGCCTCTGGCCTGGGGAGTTCAGGGTAGGGGGCAGGATATGCCAGTCATACCTAGTAACAGGTAAGGAATGAGCAATGCTAAGAGAATCTATTAGCCAGGTCTGCTTTGATAGGTTAAGTAGACACACCGGTTGGCCCTTTGTCCGGGGTTCCAGACCTAGCATCAGCTATAGAACCTTTTACTTGCTTCTCCAAGCTCATTTTCAACACTTTTTATTAACTGATTAAAATTTTGAAACTGAGGATCAAACCCAGGGCATGTGCCTGCTAACCAAGTCTTTTACCCATGAACTATGGTCCCAGACCATCAGAACCTGTCCTAAGCAGCCCTCCCCTCAAGTACTCCTTCCTTCCCCTCCTTGTTCCTTCCTGCAGCCTGGTGTTTTTCCTTTGTTGGAAACTTCTCACTCATTTACCCCTATCCCGTTAACTGTTTATGCTCTGTAAGGGCAAGGCATATGTTAGCCCTCTCCATCTCTGTATCCCCAGTGTTTATCATGATGACTAGCATGTCAATGCTCATTAAGTATTTCTGGCTACACAAATTCAAAGCAGTATAACATAAGCTTGATGCATATTTTTTGATTCAGTGTTTCTTGGGTGAAAATGAACAGTAGAAGGAAGAGGAGACAACTGTTAATGGAGGGCATTGTAAATGCCAATCACTTACTTGACATACATCAAAATGGAAATGAATTGTTGTGGATAGTTTTGCTTTCTTTCATAACTTCTTAAAGGGCTAAAGGGCTTTAGTTGTATATTTCAAACAAGTAACATAGATGGCTGGATTATTTTCAGTGACTTAATGTGAGTTGAAATAATGTCTCTGAGTTACTCTTCTATTTTTCCATTAACATATTTTAGCAATTTTCAACTTGCTTAGCTAGGCATTTGATTAATAGAAGGAAAAAAGAGTTGGGTTAGGTGTAATTAACACCTGGAATTTGATCGCCTTATTAATCTCTAATATAGCTGAAGAGTATTAAAAGTGCCTACGTCCTAGACATGACTGCTTAGATTACGACTTTCTGCAAGAGACACAGCTCTGCGTCTTCACAGTGGAAAAGTGGAAAACACCGTTCTAAGTTATAGTGAAGTTGCCTTTCCAGAGTGACAGAGACACGAGTGTGAATGTATATGAGGACAATAAACCAATTGTTAGTGAGACAAAGATTGTTTCGTGAATCTCCCAAAATTCTTCTCTTCATGTTGGCTCCATTTCCTGTGAAACAATGACTTCCACTGAACCCAGTCCTTCAGTTTCTCCCTATGCCTTGTGTTAACTGTATGGATTTGAAACTCCTCTGATTCATCTAAGACAACATACTGACTAGGTAGTAGCAGAGGCTGGGTGAGGAAGTGCTTTCTAAAGCTCCAGAGTATATGACTGTTGTAGTGGTGGGAGTAGTGGGCTGCGGCCCAGCTCCCAGCTAGCTTTACCCAAAATAATTACACGGAAACTGTATTCATTTTAAACACTGCTTGGCCCATTAGTTTCAGCCTCTTGTTGTCTAACTCTCACATCTTGATTAACCCATTTCTAATAATCTGTGTAGCACCAGTGGCTTACTGGGAAGGATCTTAACCAGCGTCTGTCTCAGTAAGGGGAATCATGGCATCTGCCTCATTCTGCTTTCTTTCTCCCACAATTCTGTTCTGTCTTCCCCACCTACCTATGTTCTGACCTATCAGGCCAGGCAGTTTTCTTTATTAATTAACCAATGAAAGTAACACATAGACAGATGACCCTCCTCCATTAGACTGTGATTGTCTTCTGGCTCTAGGCAAAGACCACACCCAAGCAAGAGGTAGTTGTCTGTGCTCAGCTAGAGGGTACATCAGCCATCAGCAGCTCCAGGACTTGCACCAAGGGGCATTAAGGATCTGGTGATACTGTCCTCTCAACAAACTATCTTCTGAGGTTTCAAGGGATGGTAGAAAGATACTGTCTTAGTTAGGGTTTCTATTGTTGTGAAAAGACACCATGACCATGGAAACTCATATTAAAAAAAAATAATTGTGGTGGCTTGCTTACAGTGCAGAGGTTTAATCCATTCTTGTCATAGCAAGAAACAATGCAGCATACAGGCAGATATGGTGCTGCAGACGGAGCTGCTACATGTTGATAATCAGGCAGCAGGAAGTGGTCTGAGACATTGAGTATAGCTTGAGCATATATGAGACCTCAAAGCCCATCTCCACAGTGACACACTTCTCTAACAAGGCTGCACCTACTCCAGCCAAGCCATACCTCCCAATAGCGCCACTCCTTTTGCAGATTTTGTGTGAATTCTATAAAGTTTTTAACTATTAACAATTAGTATTTTTATTTTGAATTTTTCTCTGGGAAATACCAAATTTATGGGTTGGCTTTTATCAGTGTCCACCCGATGGTGAATGCTGGTCAATCTTTTTCTCAGCTCCCCAGGTCCACACAGTGTGTGCCTGTTTTTGCTGTTGTTTAAAAAAAATCTTTTGTGTGGATTGGACTTGAATTTTTATGTTCTGAACATAGCTAGGTAGTCTCCCATCTGTGACCCAAGCTTTCCCTGTGCTACCCCATGCTCTACTTCTTGCTGTCTTCTGACTATCCAGTGAGACCAGTATTGGTCTTTATCTCCTCTAGTCTCCACTTGGTACTTTGATGCTAGACTGTCACAGTCATTTCTCTTGATGACTGACTTGAGAACATAAGTATTGCCTGTCACAGAACTAAAACTATCATAAAGTGGCAAAAATACTCCGCGTAGAAGAGACCACAGGTTAGTGAGTGTGTGTATGGCATAGCTTCTCTCAAATGCCTGTAAGGCCAGGGAGCTTACTGCCTTCCATGGCCGATGCACTGGATCTGGACAAGTCTGACTTCAGAAACTATTTGCTTATTGTTGCTGATCCCTCTTTCTTGGTCATTCTTAGTAATTGGCCTTGACTTCTCTTGTTTACTGGGCACTTGGTACTGAGTGAGGATCCCTCTTTCTTGGTCATTCTTAGTCATTGGCCTTGACTTCTCTTGTTTACTGGGCACTTGGTACTGAGTGAGAATCCCTCTTTCTTGGTCATTCTTAGTCATTGGCCTTGACTTCTCTTGTTTTCTGGGCACTTGGTACTGAATGAGGATTCTGGTCCAGCATATCTAATGTAGACATCTAAATTTTAACAGGGTTTGTGAGAACAAGCAGCATACTTCCTTGAGAATAGACATGCATATATTTATATATGCAGTTTCTTCCACATCAGGTACAGGCAAGTGTGAGCAATAGGAGCTTGTTCTCTGCAAGTTCCACTGTGTTTCTTTTGAAACTGCTTGTGTTTGAGTATCTCCTTTTGTAAGCATTAATAAACATTTCCTACATTTGAAATCACATGTTTTGCTTGATGATGCATCTCTTTAGATACCTGGAGGGCTTTTCCCTCCAAATAATCATAAGTCTAATTATCTGCATATTAAGTTTAAAATCTCATAATAGGTTATAATGCTTAGATTCATCACTTCTGCCTAAGTTATTTTGAATACATTTTACACCCAGCTGTAAAATCAAAAGTACATGCAGGTTTAAAATTCGCTTCCATTGGTGGGCCTTTGAGACTGAAGCTTCTTATTATTGTTATTATTATTATTAAATTATTATTATTATTTTCTAATGCACAGGAAGGATAATTCTGTGCTCTGCTGTTGCCAGCTGACCTCACTGCCTGCTACTGACGTCATATTGTTGTCTGTTCATTGCTGTCTTTCTTGTGTATTCCAGGTGCTGTGATACTCTTGGGAAGAACCAACATGTTCCGCTTTAACCATCCAAAGGAAGCTGCCAAGCTCAGGGAGAAGAGAAAGGTGAGGGCATGGAGCTGACCCTAAGTGGGGTGGGGGCCTCTCCTAGGTCCTACCACTTTACTTTCTGGGACTAAAACCACTGGAAAGGAAGCTCTGTAACCAGGTTGGTTCCAGGCAGTTGTTCCCTGACAGATGATAGAGTAGAAGAGCAGCAACTAGAGTCCAGAACTCACAAGAAAAAGCTGTTCCTTTTAGTCCCTTCTTGCTAGTCTATGCATACCCAGAAGAGCCATGCTTTGTGTGATATTAAGGAGTGACTTGCATTTACCATAATCTGTCTAAGAAACATAGCACTGAATCACTCTTATTGCAAGTCCACCATAGTAAATGGTTGTTTTTCACTTGGGCAGGAGATGGAATGGGGGTGAGTTTAGGACCATTGAGAGAGATGGGCTTGGTTGGATGGGACCATTTGCGGGTCTTATAATACGCAATGGTGGAGGAAGGCTGCAGCCCACAGAGAGGACCATTGAATGGGAAGGAAAGAAGTCTGCACTATGGCCTCTCCCAAGACTGCTGAAGACAGTAAAAACTACAGCTTGCATTTTCATGAGCTGCGAACTGTGCTCAACTTATGCAGAGACCACCATGTTATCCGTACACTAGCTGTTACCACCCCAATTTACACATAACTGAATGGAAAATTAGACTAAGACAGACTGTCCATAACAGACTGTGAGGGCAGGAGGCAGGCAACCAGGACCTCAGTCCTGACCCGCAAGCCCAAGGCCTTTGTTCTAACCAACAAGTGCTATAACATCTCATGCCTCTCCTTTCAATATAAGGGCTGTCCAAGGCTGCCAGATCCTTTGGTGGAAAATGAGAGCAAAATTATTCCTTTTAGCCTAATCCACAGCTGATTGATGATCCAGCCAGTCAATATTCTTGCCCATTCCAACCCAGGGCCACTCTAGACAGTACCTTTTACACATGATTCCAGAGAGATATGGCGGAAACATGTCTGCCAGTAGCTTTCCTGGGAAGCAGATAGACCAATTCTTACCTTTTGGTCTCCCCACACCTATACCTTTATCTCTGTCACTCAGTAAATGTGAATGTTGAGGGCAGCAGAGATACAATTTCTAGCGTCTACCCAAATATCAATGCAGTGTAGCTAGAAGGCTTTCTGAGCTGTGGAATGCCTAGAGAATAAAGGGATACATTTGGGGGTCAGGTTAAAACCTGGCACAAAGGAATCGCCCAGTAGTCTACAAGGATGACCCCAGCTGAGACTCCTAGCAATAACAATATGGAGCCTGAACTGACCATCTCCTGTGACCAGATTGGTGCTTAGCCCAATTGTCATCAGAGAGTCTTCTTCTAGCAACTGATGGAAACAGATGAAGACCCACAACCAAACATTAGGTGGAGTTCAGGAAATCTTGCAGAATTGGGGGAGAAAAAATTGTATGAGTCAAGGGGTCAAGGATACCACAAAACAAACAAACAAAACAAAAAACAACAAACAAACAAAAACCCCACAGAATCAACTAACCCAGGCTCATAGGGGCTCACAGAGATTGAACTAATAACCAGGGAGCCTGTACAGGACTGACCTAGGCACTCAGCATATATGTGACAATTGTGTAGTTTGGTCTTCTTGTGCGACTCCTAACAGTGGGAACAGGGGCTGTCTCTGACTCTTTTACTGACTTCTGGGACCCAGCCTTGATACATGGGAGGTGCTTTTCTCACTGCATCTCGATATGTCATGTTTTATAGATAGGCATGGAAGACATTCCCTTTCCCGAACAGAAATGAAGGAGGAATGAATTGGGGGGCGGGTGTGTGGGAGTAAGGCAGGACAGGAGGGAGGGGAAACAGGCCAGGCTGTAAAATAAATAAATACATTTTCTTTTTAAAAGGTGATTTCTGGTGTATAAGGGCCTAGCTAGCCCTCATCTGCAAGATATTAGCATTCACATGAGTGCATGCATCTCATTGCCCGTCACTAGTGGAAGGCAATGGATGCTGAACACTGGCTGTCTCATACCCACTAAGGTAACCACTCTGTCCTGTGTCTGCTCTTAGAGTGGCCTTCTGTCCTCCTTCAGCTTGTCAATGACCGACCTCTCCAAGTCCTGTGAGAACCTGTCTGCAGTCATGTTGTATAACCCTGGGTGAGTGAACAGCAATGCCTCTTCTCCATGATTTGTACTCTGATGGTATTTATGGTGCCAACTACATTATAGTCACTTGACGGTAATAAAGCTTGGGCAAGGGCACCTCCTCAGCACATCACCACAGCCATTTTCCAAGTTTCTTTCCAGCCAGTACTGTATATACATAATTGTACTTAGTTCTAATCACAGTGCAAATGGGATTATGTTCTCTGAGTTTTTGCTTAACAACATAATAAGCATTAGCAAAGATGGTTACAAGCTTTATTATCATTTTCATAACTGTCTAATATTTTAAGTTGGCACTTTGATTGCCCAGTGCATGATCCCTTTGGCTTAAATGCTTTTATCTTGTTTTTATAAATTATCTGTAATAACAGGGAACTGGGGCATCCTTGATCCTCGGGCATTCCATAGCCCAGAAAATTATCTTCACTACTTTCAGACATCAGGGGATGGATGAAGACACAAACGAGAGTGTTTTAAATAGTTTAGCAGCTGGGTGACCTTGAGCTCTTAGCCTAAGTGCCCAAGTCCTTGGTGACTTCATCAGTAAGATGACAGTGATAATGAAAACGTCTGGAAACAGAGCCAGATGAGAAGGCTTTTGGGTTCTCCCCAGTTTTAAGGTCCCACTATCTTCATGCTTCCTACCAAGAGAATCTCTCGTAAACTAATGAGCTGAGTGAGTGAAATGAACTCACAGGATGTTTTCTGGAGCAGTCCTTTTTCAGCATTTACTTTGGGGCAGGCACAGTGCTGAGTGACCTCTGTCCTCTCAGTTCTGAGTCACGATGGCCTCGGTTCTCGTGTGCATGTGTTTATTAATTAGAGCTGTGGTGGGATCCAGGTCTGTCTGCCTCCCAAGCCTTGCTCTCATTTCCTCAGTCCTAATCCTATTCCAGTTGGGGACCTAGTTTCATAGCGAAGGCCTGGGACTGCTCCTTGATCCAGTTAGTACTGTCCGTGGTGGAAAGTAGATGTCTATGAGAAATTGTTGCTTCATTGTCCTGGGAAGCACCTTCAATCACATCTCTACTCTGTTCCTGTTGGAGACCAGCAGGCTAAAGCCCAGATCCCGTGTTACTTAAGCCAAAGAGAAAAAAGAGCCAGTTTGTGAGATACGGGGTCTGCAGATTTCTGGCAACCCAAAGTTTGTTTTATAGTGTCCAGTTTCACCTTCACTATGCCGCCTTCAAACTTTATGTTGTGTGATTACTGAGGAAAGTTATGCTCATTAAATAATTGTCTTGAGATAAACCAAATATTAGTGAAACCCTAAAACACAAGAACCCTCTCAGAGCCACTGAATAGGCAGTCTTTCTGAAGCCATGAGAGCTTTGGGCTCTTAGAAAATGGCAGTGGTTTTCTCTGCTGCTTTGTATGGGGACTAGAAAAAGAAATCATTTGTAGGATTCCATCACTTAATAATATGCTGGTCCTCGGCATTGATATCAGAAGGGTAATCCCATCTGTTAAGTACTGTTTTTCTAGTCAAATGGTTTTGCTGGGATTTGTCTCCCAGTCTAAGACCCAGTTACCCCTTCCCCATCCACTGTGCAGTAGAGCCCTTTAGTTTGCTTCCATTTGGAAACTTAGTTTGCTATCTTTGAAAACAACAACAACAACAACAAAAAAACAAAATAAAAAACTCTAATCTCTGCTCAGGTCTCTCTCTCTCTCTCTCTCTCTCTCTCATATCTATATGTATGGTATTGAATTCTCTTTTCTCCACAAAATGTAGAATATGTAGTCCTCTTGAAAGTGATATTATATTTTAATTGATTTGAAATTCAGCTTTTCCCCAGTATTGATAAAATGTCATTAAAGTGTACCAGTTTACATCCTCAGAACTCTTCTGACTCACCATGTCTACAAGTAAAGTGTCACTTCATTGATTCCTTATGGTCAATCAGCATCCCTACCACCTGTCCATCACAGCACACCTCTGCGCAGCCTGGCACATCCATCTCTGTGCAGCCTGGTGCATCCATCTCGCTATATCTTCGCACATCTCACTACATCCCTCTGCAAGTTGTGGGCCTTCAGTTTGTGGCTCTGACTTGGATACATATGAAAAAACTGTGCCATAGGAGCTGTTTCTTTGCTTGTTCCAGGGTTTGGTACTTGTTTTTCCTGCTGTGTGCTTTGCAAGGAATGCACCATGCAGGTGAACCCATTCTGCATGCTATTCCCAGGTCTCATCAAAATAAAATGTCCCTGTTCAGTGCATATTGCTGCATGTCTGTCATCACTATTTTATCATTCTTTGTGGAGACAATCCACCCTTCAGCAAACCCCTTCTGAGAACTTGCTATCAATCAGACCCTAGGACAGGGGCCTTTGGTATTGGCAGTAGTCGATGCCCATGCCATCTGGAGGAGATAATCAGCCTGTGGGTGACTTGGAAGATCAGAGGAGTAAAGGAGAAATGGCGTGTGATGCTTTGGGGGCTGTGTTCGGCAGGAGTGCTCAGGGAGGACTTCAGAGTGGGAGATCTAAGACTCAAATGGAGTGAAAATGACACTGATAAAACATGGGGGAGGGGGGATGAACACATCCTGGGAAAAGAGAAGGGAACCAAAATGCTGCAGAAGCAGAAATTGGAAGGCGGACCAGAATGAGTGGACTATAGAAAGAAGGATAGTGCAAGGTGTTGAAGATCAACGTCAACAAAACTCATACATTCCTGGGAGGTGAGGGGCCATCCGTGGTAGCCGTGTGGGCCCTTGTGGGACACCGCAGCAAGGGTGTCTTCTGAGAATGTTGACAAACATGAGAGTCTGCTGGCTGGGACCGTAATGTCAAAGGCACTTACTGTGGAAATTGTAGTGTAGAATTGGGATATTGTGAAGGAAACTGTGGGTTTAGACCATATGGAAGATAATGGTGGGATAGGTCTGGGCTTTAGCCATAGAGATAGAAAAATGAAAGCAAGGAAGTAGGGGGTAAAGAGAGATTTCCAGGCTTCAGGTGTGAACGTGTGGGGCAGATGTTGTATCCTCTCCTGCAATGGACCAGGCAAGGAAGATGATTGCAAGTCGACAGGTGATAAAAATTCTTTTTCTGTAAGCGTCTTTCTTGTTAAGTTGGAAACTTTGTGTCTCAAGGGTCTTTACTTACTTTATTTCACAATGTCATACATATCTCCTGGTTATTAATAACTTAGCAAAAAGTTTCAGATTGAATATGTCTTATTTAGTAAGACATCTGAGTGCTCTAGGGTATTTTTTTGTTTATGAATTTCTCTAGGCATGAACATTATAATTATTGAGATAAGACATAGTGTGCAAAGTGTTACAATCCCAGAGATGATGCAGTTACTTAAATAACCTCAAGGTCATGTTATGATCCTTGACAAAAGGTGGTAGACGGAGAAGAATGCCTTATGTTAAAATAGGAAAGTAGCAAAGGCTATCGAGAAACCCAACTGAGAAGCAAGATGTTGTCGGCTGAATTGCAGCTGGTAGCTTCTGGATGCTTCCGATATGAGCATGACACAGCACCTTCACCTGCCTTTTGAAAACAGACACATTCATGTAACACTTTTTGGTACAAATTCAAATAAAATTATTTAGTACTTCATCATACCTTCCTTCTCTCTGGTTCCCAGTCTGCTGCACTTGCTACCTGCTGCAAAGAGTGATTACCCATGAATTAAAATATAATTGAAGAAAAATTGCCTACTCTGACTTATGGGAAGGCAGACACCTCATTATGAAATTGTTGGCTCTATCTAGCAAGTGGGCAAAATGGAAGCATAATTAAAGCTATAGCCATGCTGTTTTTGCCACCTTTTTTATGTTGCAGGTATAAATACTCTCAGCATAATTTAAGGTAGAAGAACATTGAAAGAAATATGTTTAGTACCTGGGCCCTCCTTAAAGAGTTGTTTAATTCCACATAATCCACAGCTTGGACTCAGAGCATGCTCATTTCTCAGATGGACCCTCAGGTTGTGATGCTCCCTCTGAGCAGTGGGTATTGAGAGGATCTGCTGTGTGCTGACAGCCTGCTAAGTACTCGGCTTCCGGCTCTCTGCAGAGATTCTGGGAACACGGGCTTGTCATGTGAATGCATGTAAAATGAGTGTAAGACAGCATGCAGTTCCGAGTAGAAGGCAGCTGTGTCTGCAGTCTTCTCTAGGATCTGGTGGAAAGGACTGATGTGGCATGATGTATCTAGGAAGGGATTGCTTTCTAGTGCCACACCCCCATTGGGTAGCCGTGCCCTAATGTGTTGGGTGACAAAAAAACAGAGGCCCTGTGGCTTCCAGCAGCAGTCTTTGTTAGGGGTGATGTCACCTGTATCCAGTCCCTTGGAATCTGTATGAGTTTGATTCATGAGAACCGTTTGTCTTTTTGGAAACGGAATATGATTTCCTTGCATTGGTGCCAGTTTCTTGTGTAGTTTAGCTCATTCTCAATGGCGTAGAAGCTTACACCCTGGACTAAGTGACCAGAGTTCTTGTCATAGAGTAGACAGCAGGATTACAAGGAATCCTAAGTATACTTTCTCTTCTGTAACTAAGGTCATAGCGTTCCCAACCTGTAACAAGGCCCTGCTTGGAGAAGAGAGAGGTAGAGAATGCTAACTGGGGACTTAGTCCTCATCACCCACCTTCCCTGACTTTGTGCCAGAGGTTTTACTCTGTGATTTCCAGGTGAAGTGTGTCCTTGCTGGGCCCTGAAGTGTTTGCAGGAGAGAGATGTCACTAGCTGAGGAGGTCCACTGCAGGAAATACAGAGCTCCAGAGGAGAGCAGGGCAGAAGGAGTCACACTGAGAGAAGGCCTTAAGTGGAGTCAGCAGGGTGAGGCCCAGCAGGAGGGAGAGCTCCCTGGAAGCACACAAGCACTCACAGAGTGGCTCTTTGGGGATTGTATTTCTGTGTTTGGCAGGATGAATTTGGGGTGTAAATTGCAGCTCAGGTTCCTAAAGTATGAACGTAGTGTTGTATATGAAAATTACATTTGTAAATTCTGATTATCCTTTTAAGAAA